AAATGATGTTTTTTATCTTTATAAAAAACATCGTGACCAATATTTAGGTGCACAAAATGGAGAAGATATGTTCGATCAGTTGGAAAAAGAAGTCGCAGAATTTAACCATAATAATAAAGGAAATGCATGGATGCAAAAATATATTGCTCCCGAAAAAGATGATTTTGGGCAGCCCTTTATTCTTGTTATTATAACGAATCTCATGATGCGTTGTCATACACTAAAGGAAGCGGGTGAGTTAGTTTATATGGATACAACTGCAGGATTAGATGTTCTTAATACTCCCTTTACAATTCTCTCGACAAGCACACCTGCAGGTGGTTTGCCTCTTGGCGTGATTATTGCTTCAGACGAATCAGCAAATACCTTCACAAAAGCTCTAGAAATATTAAAATGTCTGATTCTATCAGCAGGATTTGGTGAACATGGAACTGCTCTTGGTCCACAGGTAATAATGACAGACGATTGTAAAGCTGAAAAAACAGCATTGTATAATACTTGGAAAAATGCAACCTTACTGCTATGTGTTTTTCATTTCTTGCAAGCAATGTGGCAATGGCTTTGGGATGGAAAACATGGTATTTGTAACAATGACTGTGTGACTTTAATTGAATACATAAAAAAAATGGTCTTTGCGAAAAGTAAAATAACTCTTAATGCCATATATAATGATTTAACCACAAGTCAAATTTATTCAAAATATCCAAACTTTCAAAATCACCTTAAAGCTTCTTGGGATCATCGCTATGAATGGGCTATTGCCTTCTGCCAACAACTACCAATCCATAACAATAACACTAATAATTTCGCAGAAGCCAGAATTAGAATTTTAAAAGATATCGTTTTTAAATGTATGCAAGCATATAACATTGTACAAATATACCAATTTATCATAACTACAATAGATCTTTATTATATTCGTAGGCTATTGACGATGGCACATAATAATTTAGATAATTTCATTGCACTTCGATTTAAACTCTCTGGATGGAAGATTGGAGAAAAAAACGATATAGAAATTATAAATAAAAATTCAATGGTTTTTAGACACAGAAGCAGTAAAAATAAAGACGTATGGTACCTTGTTGATATGAGACTTGGTACTTGCGAATGTAGTCCAATAGGAACCCCGTATAAACATCAAGCTTCTGTGGCGAAACATTTTAGCATATGTGGATTAAATCAAATACCCACTATGTCCATTAGTAACCGGCGTCATTATGCCTACCTGGCTTTAGGTGAAAAACACAAGCCTCTCAGTTTTTATGCAGGTCTTCATCAAGAACAGCTT